GTCAAATCAGACAGACAGGAAAATGGTATTATAACTCCTCATTGTCAGATTGAATAAAACAACGTTATTGTCGAAATTAATCCAATTTCCTTTCATAGGCCATTTGAGAGAATGGGAATGAGATCCGTCGAGCTAGAATACGCTCTCATAAAAGGTCATCTCAACTTAAATTAATGTTCGTAATCATTGGGTCACGGCATGGAGATCTAAATTAATAATACGTTGATTTAAGTAAAAAAAATTTAATTTTTTTTATTTAAAGCTGAGTTTAAATTTTAAATGAATATATAAATGTAAAAATATTAAGAAATTTAATGTCAAAAATGAAAAAAAAATAAAATTAATTTATGGAAAAGATAAGATTTATATTTACCTTTTTGTAATTTTTAGTAATTGATAAAGATTATTAATCCGATATCATATGGAAATCCGTTTGATTTCTTTCTGGTTTCAAGGAGGATCGATTTCTATTATCCTAGATTTTTGGTAATTATCATACACTTATGAAACAAGAACTAAAATTGTTGCACAGAGATCCCAAACACTTGAAAAAGGAGAAGGAAAATGGCAAGAAGAATCTGCCTTTGTGTTCCATTCTTTGAATAAGATAGGAACATGATCAACCTATGGAGTCCGAGCACATATTTTACATCCCTCATTACTTAACACTCTATTTGAATTGAGAAAGTTGAAATGAAAGAAAAAGAGAGTGCAGGGAAAAGAACACCTTCCCTCTGTTTGAATAAATAATTTTAATGAAAAAGAGAGATGAAAGGAGATAGAATCCTCTCTCTTCCTTTGTTTTTAATCTCTCTGATTTAAAATGATTGAGATAAATTATATTATTTAATTTATTTTTGTTTTTAATTTTTTTTAAAAATATATATATAAACATCTTATTTCAACTATTTATTTAGTTAATAAATTTTAAAAATGTTATTCTTCTTTATTTTATTTTTTATTAAATTATTTAATTAAATAAAAGTATTATGCTTCCCCTTCTTCACTTTTATCTATCCAAACAAAACGGCTTAATTTAATTTTTAGTCTATTAACTATCATATTAATTTTATTTTAGTTTAGAAAGTATGTTTTATTTTTAAGTGGTCCATTAACTTTCAGATTCATTTCAATTTCGTAACCGGGCGAAAAACTTCTTAGGTTGTTAGGGAATAGTTAATCCTTTGATTATATTTTTTTTTATCTTTTAGTCCTTAAATTTATATTTGTTATAAAAATAATTTTTTTACTTAAAATTATTTTTTATAAGTTCTGATACCAGATTTTTATACGAGTTTTCCTATTTTTTAAATTTGATATCAGAGCCTGAAAATTAATAGATCACTTTAAAATAATAATTTTAAGTATAAAAATTTGATATCATAGCTTAAAAATAATAATTTTAAGTATAAAAACTAATTTTATAACAAATATAAATTTGAGGACTAAAAGATTAAAAAAATATAATTAGAAGACTAACTATTCTCTAACATAATAGGAAGTTTTCCGTTATCCTTGACCAAGTAGACGAAATTGAAATGAATCTGAAAGTTAATAAACCACTTAAAAATAAAACATAGTTTCTAGACTAAAATGAAATCAAGGTGATAGTTAATAAACTAAAAATTGAATTAAGCCCAAACAAAACTAATATCAATCTTTTCCTTTCCTCCTCTCCCCTCCCCTCCCCTCCCCTTCCTTTCCTTTAACTAATTTTTATCCAAACATAGGCTAAATGTTTCTGCAACTGGTTATGCTATGTCAGCACGATCGAGCATATCTACCAAAGTCATCCGTCTGGGGAACCTCGGTGGCAATCTCAAATTCATGGCATCCTCTATCTGAATGGGTAAATGTGTTGCCACAATCACAATCCCACCTTTCTTTCTGTGCTTGGCAATGATATACTCTAGCAGCCTTACCCCTTCTTCATCTAATGCAACAGAAGGTTCGTCTAGCAACCAAATTGGCCGATCGATAGCTAGCAACCTTGCAAGCTGCAGTCTTTTCCTCTGGCCCATTGACAACATTCTTGCCTTCTCTTTTGCCAATCTTCCAAGCCCCATGAGCTCCAAAGCTGGCAAGGACTTGCCCTGCTTGCCTTCAAGGACCTCAAACCATTGAACATTGTCGAGGACAGTAAACTTCTCTTTAATGGCATCTTTGAGAGAAAGCCAGTTGAGTTGAAGCTTGTACTGATGGAATATCCCTGATTGTGTGATGTCATGACCATTCCAAAGGATCTCACCAGCAGAAGGCCGAGAAAATCCTGCTAGCATGCGCAGGAAGGTAGTCTTGCCTGACCCATTGCTGCCTGTCAACACAAGTGCTCCGCCATCATGAACAGAGACATTCACATGTCTCAAAATTTGTTGGGCATTTCTCATGCAAGAGACATTGTTGAGGAGGATCCTAGGAAGCGGGGGTTTCCGAAGAGACATTGAAGTTGCAAAGTAAATAAAGAATACTATTATGCGGATAAGCACAAATGTTTAAGACCGAAATATGATCTCTTAATTCTGACTGACTCAAGCCAAGTCTCGTTGATAAGAGTTAATCAAGTCCTGTGAAAGAATCAAAAGATTAATAAGCAATGACAATGTCAAAAGAAATATGCAATCAGGAACTGAACCACATGAAACAGATTTGACATGCACGCAGGGTACCATGCTATACTTGTAACATGATATGAAAATAACCAACTAACAGGAAAAAGTCCAACTGATGAGTGTTTAATCAGGGAGTCTTAGAAAGTCCCATCTAGAAAATTTTATGGTGAAAGGTTTTAGTAAAAGTCACAGAACAAGATAACTACCAAGAAAAAAGTATAATCTTGCTTATGATGTCCCGGGGAAAATTAAACTCAGGGATTATTCTATCTTACTGAAAAAGAAAAACCCAAATCAGTTGCCTCAGCCTATATGAATTAAGGACTAATATTCAAATGAAATTGCCATGGTTGAATGAGAGAATTTAGGAAATCCTAGACAATATGTATATGTTCAAATAGGTACATCAGTCAAAGCACTACTTATAAAGAAAGACTTAAGGCTCCTAAATGAGTGAATTGATCTAGAATAGTAGAAAGCTCAGCCCAAGGTGCTCTTAGAGTGCCAAAAACAAGAGCTGCTCCAGTATTAGGGGAGAATGGATGCCTTAGAAGC